TTAGCCCAGTTGCTATCAGATCCGCCCCAGAACCTATTCTTTTACCCTATCCAAATCCCATGCCCACTCTCCATTTTATATAGACCTAATTCCCCATTCTCAAAAAAGAGAAAAAACGAACTCCTCTAACCTGAAAAACCCTAGCCGCCCCAATGGAAAAAATGTTCTCAGATCCCTCACACACGCCTTCTCTTCTCACCTCTCTCTGAATTCACAGACTTGACACACGTTCAAAGCACTGACTAGCAAATCGATTCTGGAAATTCAAAGGCCATTTTTTGAGATTTGGAACAAAGGGCTCGAAAAATAGAGGGAGATTAGAATCAAAAGCAATTTCTGAAATTACTCTTCTATTGTTGTGTTTATTCTACACTTTTGCGTTTTAAAGAGAATTCCGATTGAAATCGCCATTCGATTTTCGCTGATTTTGTTGTTTCTTGAATTGTTGAGCTCCGTTCGAGTTTGCTTCTACTTTTATTTGGTTTATTCTAGCTTTTCTTTGTTCAACTAGGTTAGTTTGAAATTACTTTGTCTTATGCTTTCAGTAAATGAATAAAAACGGTTGAATTCCTATTTAGTTTTTTTTTCTTATTTGTTCAAGTATGACTTGCACTGATTCTGTTGTTTACTGGACGTGTATTTGGCCTCTATTTGACTGAAATAGTTAAGTAACTCGAAATGAGATGTTTATGTGAATTACTCGTTTCATGCTCTCAATTAGGACACTGTTGTTAGTGGTGAGCCTTTGATTGGTTGGATTTTGTAATGTCAAAGCCAAGAAATGGGCTCCAGGAGTAGTTCATATGCTATTGTTAAGCTATTGTATGCAGATTTGACGTTAAGTGACTCTTAATGAGTTCAAACATTATTTCTATTCTAGTTCAGTTATGTTAATCAGTCATTGGTGGATTGAACTTGAATTTGAGCTTCGTCCGTAGGAACAGCTTCGCATTTTAGTCTTGTAAATATTCGGTCAGGTTCGAAGCGATCCGCGAGTTGTTCTCCAGTCCAGCACGTTAACTATCCTACAAAAGTTTCATTCTAATACCAACAATACAACTCCATAGTTGTTGCAAAGTAGCTCAAGACAGATGCGTTACTGCTTAAAATTAGCCATGAAAACTCCATCTTTCTGCCACGAAATTCAGTTCTTAAAGCTCCCTTAAACCACTCCAAAATCCAGCCATAACAAGCAGTAAAAACGCAGCCAACAAAGCATAAAACCAATTGCCTTCTTCTACCCAAAACTGATGTGAAATCAATCCCATAACCAACCAAAACACCAGCTCAAAACATCACTGAAATGCAGCAGTTTCGCTACTCTTAAACCAGCTCCTCTTCCTCTGTAGGTGGTCATAAAAAACAGTTGAAATTTCATTCACTTATCTTATCTCAATTTGATATTGCTAGCATAATGAATGATTCTAGTCAGTTGTTGCTCTTAGGTGTTATTCCATCTTTGTTCATCGTCTCAATTTATTCATCTATTTTCTTCGAGATATGTACTTCCTTTATGAGTTTCATTGAAATCTTTTGGATAAGTTCATATTAATCTTTTGTTGCTTTGGATTAAGTGGTTTGCTTGATACAATTATTAGATTGGTGTATTAACTTAATATGGCAGTAAGCTTGGTTTAGCTAATTGGATTTTGGGAGTTGATTGGTTATGTTTGGATTGGTTTGGGGTTGATAAGCTTTGAGAGGAATTGGGCATGAACGCAACGCTAACCTATTGTCCACATTTATTCCATAATTGTAACAGTCAAATCTTACACCTACCCACAAATGACTTCCATATTTCCCTTGGCCTCACAATGCATTTCAAATGTAGTTCAAAAATAATTCAAATGCGCTCGTTGCTTTAGGCGCGCAATAACAAATCATCATGACCATGGGTACGATTCCCGTGGCATGGTCACGATACGTAAATTCCAATTCGAGTGTGTGTTTCACGTGACTCGATCATAACTTCAAATAATAATAAAATTCAACATGTTGTAAATCGCAGGTGCGTTTCACGTAACGCGATTCGCAATGTGTACAAAAATAATAAGTGAGCGATATTGTGACTTATTTAAATAAATTTTATAAATACTAAAAGCGGTTAAATATTAATTAAAATCGGTTTAAAGGTAAAATGCGCAAATAGGTTTCGAATATGTATTAAATCAGATAATTAGGTCAATTATTAATTGTTAAGTGACCATGCTAAAACCACAAAATTCGGATGTACCTCACACTTTCTCCCGGGTTAACAGAATTCCTTACCCGGTCTTATGTGTTCGCGGACCGTAAAATTAGAGTCAATTTCCTCGATAAAATAGGATTTAAAATACATCGGTGACTTGGGACACCATAAACTATCCCAAGTGGCGACTTTGAATCTAATAAATAATCTCATTTCGATTATGTCACTTTAATTAGAAAAACTCCCTAGTTCCCCATCTCTCGGGAAAAAGGAGGTGTGACATAATGCTATGACTTATCTCATATTATTGTGTTAGTTTCTTGGAAAATACACTATATAGTTGTATTTTACTAGGACTTAAAAAATATTTGGAGCACAAGTTGCATATTTTATGCTATGAAGACTTTACCGAAAAAAATCCGAAAAACCGAGATTGAAAAAACCCGACTTTGTTGGTTTGGTTTGGTTTATAAAGTTAAAAACCCGATACTATTGATTTGGTTTGATAATTGAAAAATACCAAACCTATGTAAACCCCTATGTTCAATATTTGATATCTTTTGAAATGATTCCTGTAAATCTTAGTAGTTGATGTCAAGTATTTGGTGTTCCTAACTTGAGAGGTAGTAGAGTCAGAGTATTGCAAGTGGATCATTATTGTCCATTTTCATGTTCATAAATTTTTAGTTAGGTGTAAAATTGAGATAGCCCAACAAAAGCATTTGGACAATTATGCAGGAAGTAAAAGTCTCCCATTTTATTTATTTTAAATAGAAGAAAGCAAGCCCAACGTGACACTCATGCCTCTCCCAATACCTTGAAAATGTTTTTCGACATCGTGGTGATACCTAACAGATTTGGCTCAAAATCCTGTTTATGACTTTTTTTTTCACTTCCCTTCAATTTAATTCCCTTTTATTGTGCATTTGGTATAGCAAAAAGTATTTTTCTTAACGAAATTATCTTTGAGCTTTTGATGAGTGTAAGCAATGGGTAGGAATGACTTGCGTCATTGATGAGTGCAAGTAATTTTTTTGTTTTTTGTTTCGGTTTCTCATCTGGTGTTCGATATCTTCATTGGGCCTGATTAAATCTGGATTCACGTCGGGAAGTCCCACATTGGGGGTAAAGTGCTCCCTAACAAAAGTAACTCCATACTCATAACTCGAATCCGAGATCTCTGGTTAAGAATAAGGAGTACTTACTACTCTACCACAATCTTGGTTGGTAAATAAGTAATATTTCTTTACCATATCTTAATCTTGCAGCATGTCACATATTTCAACCAATATTAATATTATAATCTACCTTTAGTGCTCAAAATTATTGCCAGAACACCGGCCCTTGTCCTATCCTGCTAGGGCGGTCAAAATCCAAACCATAATCGAAAATCGAACCGCAAACTTGGCTTAATGGGTTATTGGATTAACGGTTGGTGAACGAATTGAAATTTTATAATTAACAGCTTATCGGTTTGGGGGCGGATTATTCAATTTTCTTAACGGATAAACCGTTAACCTGTTAAGAATTTTAATATTTGTATTTGTACCCCTATGTATATTAAATATCTCTTTCACTATTTGACAAAGTAGCAGTTACTACTCACATTCAGAAGGCAGTTACTACTCACATTCAGAAGGTTCATTAAGTTATTAACTATTATTGTTTTATCACGAATACTAACTTATTGGTATTAGACTATTGAAAATTCACTTTCAAATTCTTGTGACTTTTGCCAGTTGTGAAAATGCACTTGCATATGGCTTGATGCAATAGTAGAAAGAAAAGAGCCCTATGCAACACTAATTTAGTATATGGCTATATCCATTCTGACCAAATCTTCCAAGGAGAAAACATAAATTTCCATTTAGTGACAGTGTTATATAAACGGGTTAAATTTAAGATTTAAATTTGGTGATTTAATGTCAAGTGGTATATGCACTCATTACTATTTAATTTAGCCGATAAACCGTCCGATAATTGCGAAACCGATATCATTCCGCCGATATCTTATCGGTTTGGCTAGCGGATAGTACATTTACGAGCCGATAACCGATAAGCCGAACCGTTAAGCGTAACAATCCGTCTGATCCGTCCGATAAGTAGCCCTAATCCCTGCTATTCTACTTTTAATATAAGTTACCTACCTTAGTGTCCAAACACCTAGACAATTATTCTCTAAAATAAAATATTTCTCAAAAAGAAAATATTTTTACATAAAACATTTACTCATACCAGACGCACAAAGAGTGGGCAGAAAGTGGGAGCACAGAATTAATTATGAAAACAATTCCTCTTATAGTTTTAGCGAGATATTAAATCATGTATACGTAGTTAAATTTAACTTCCACCAACATTGATCATTATATCTTCTCAAGATCCCCTATACGTACATATGACTAGTCATTTTCAATAGACTTAAAACATGATACGTGCTTGCTTATTTACAAAATTTTCTCCTTTCCTAAAAGCTGTGGGGTTAAGCCCCTTTCATTCATTTTTTCTAACTTTTGCACACCGACGAGTGAAATGAAAGTTTTTATACAAATAGCCGGTCATATTTATTGTTTATTTTTACTAGTCATATATATAAATTATATATTAATGCATAAATTATACATATATTATATCTCCGCCGGCTATTTATAATTTAAACGGGTAGGTGAACGGCTATTTGGATTAATTATTCGCTTTATTAACCCTCTTTTCGGTGGAATGTGTTTAATTTCTATGCAATGTTAATATTTTTTATAGATTCAAATTTATAAAAAGGTAAAAAAAAAAATAACGGTAAAACAGTGAGAGGATCGAATTATGAACATTGAATTTTATTTACTGAACTTGTCAAATGTCTGGTAAAATTGAGACTTCTAACTACAGAGCTCTTTTGTATATTACAACAAAAAATATTATCTAAACAACGTATTTCCAACTCTTCACTACCAAAACAGCTTTCCAGCTCAATTTCATGACTTCCAGAAAAAGCTGTCATTGTCCCACAAACTTCCAAATCATCATATCCTTCATTTTGTTTACTGTTCATTCTAACTGTTGTCCAAATTTCATCGTCCCGTCTCCAGTTTGGTTTTCTTGAATTCAGACCCAATTTTCTTACCCTTTGAAGAGGAAAATCTGTTGAAGTTTCTAGTTGTATTGTGGAATCCATAGTTTCTGTTTCCTCTACTGAATTCCAAATATCTTGATCAAGAATACTAGTTGGGGAGCTTGTGATAGAGTCTTGAATTACCTTAAGATTCGAATTTGATATTTCCTCAAGAAATGGATGTTTGAGGAGTTCTTTAGCCGANTTTGTATTGAACAAAAATCCATGGTTTCTGTTTCCTCTACTGAATTCCAAATATCTTGATCAAGAATACTAGTTGGGGAGCTTGTGATAGAATCTTGAATTACCTTAAAATTCGAATTGGATATTTCCTCAAGAAATTGATGTTTGAGGAGTTCTTTAGCCGTCCATCTTTCTTTTGGATTTCTTCTCAAGCATTTGCTTAAGAAATCCTTTGCTTGTAAAGATAGAAACTTTGGAATTTGTGGGGATTGCCCTGAAAATGCAATTTTGTAAAGCAATGAAGCTGAATTAGCCACATTAGTCCACGGTGATCCACCAGTGGCCATTTCAATAATTGTACATCCTAATGCCCATATATCAGCTGCAAACCCCTGTTCTTCCCCACGCGCCACCTCCGGTGCCATGTACATCGGCGTGCCGCCAATTGGCTGGGTGGAAGCAGCGGCGGCACCACCGTCTCTCTCCGCCGGATCAACCCACCTGGCACAACCGAAGTCTGCAATTTTGGCACCGGTCTTACCTAACAAAATATTCTGTCCCTTAATATCACAGTGTACTACGCCTCTTGAATGTAAGTATTCTAATCCCAACAGAATTTGCTTGGTGTAATACCCGATTAACTGCTCGTTGATCCGACCACCCTGTTTTCGGATTTCATCGGTTATTGTACCGTCCGACATGTACTCCATCATAAGATTAAACAAGAATTTGTCGTTCTCTTTTGTAACATCGTAACCCTTGTAGCTAACTATGTAAGGGGAGCTCAATTCGGACAAAATTTTCTGCTCTTTTTGCAAGAACTGAGACTGGGATAAATCCACTGACTTAACAGCAAAAATCTCGCTGGACCAACGTGACTTGGCAACAGAGACAGCGGCGGAGGAGCCGTGGCCGATAATATGCCCTCTGGTCCAATCCATTTTTGTTTTTAAAAGAAGAAATAAGATTGGTAGGCAGTGTAGAAATTTTTAGTAAGTGTTCTGTTTTTGGTTTGTTATAAGATGCAATAGAGGTATATATATATATATATATATATATATATATATATATATATATATACATATATAATATGGTGAAAGTTCGAAACTCCAAATTAGTTGGGTAGAGCTTAGATGGCCTCTCTTTCCCCTTAAAAGTTTGACGGTTGCTTTAACGGGAATTCACAACGTGGACAAATGCTTGTGGCCATACGGCAGTTTGAGTAGGTTGGAGGACTACCATTACTTGGCCAATTGGAATTGATGCCACGTGGCAAGCTATGATAATTTCAAAATAAGTGTTTTAAGTCTTAGGTACAAGTGTTGTAAAGATAATTGCTGGTAAATTACTATAATTAGATGATATCTGCTATCTCAAGCTAAAGTATACTGCCAACAAAAAAGATATTTTTATATTATCGATACATATAACTAAATCATATCAAAATGGTTAGATCTAAGTTTTTAATTTATGTTTGAAAAGAAGTTGAGTTGGGTAGATTGGATTGTGATCCTTTGTTTTGTATGGGGTGTAATTACTTTGAAGATTAAATTTGGGAGTTCGGGAAGTTTGAACCACCAAAATGGATACTAGTATTGAATTCTTTAGATATTCCACTTTTTGATAGGCATTGAATTCAAGTGGAGTTTGAAGTCATTGATGCTCTTACATGTTTATCCACTAAAAAAGTTTACCATGGATTTTAAACTTCCTAGAAAAGGACAAGCATAAGGTCAATCAAAATGGGAAGAATCTAGTAAATAGATATGTCTTCTTACAAAGAATGGATTTCAAAATAAGAAGAATCTAGCAAATAGATATGTCTTACTACAAAGAATAGATTTCAAAGAAAAAAAAAGAGGTTTAGCAGCCAATTTACAGTATGTAAGTGTAACGACCCACTTTACTAGTGATATCATTCACTTTGAATTTAGAGTCGTACAACTTTAAAACGCGTCACTAAAATTTAAACCTTGTCTACTTATATACCCAACATCTCTCTCATATTTTGTTAATGTGGGATTCCCCTAGGATGTCAGATGAAAACAACAAGGCATTTAATCAAAGCGAATCAAGTGCTTGATACTAATAATTACCTTTACTTAATGTAAATAATTAAGCTATTCCAAATCGCATAATCACCTTCTGGAACGTCAACTAAAATTTGCTTTCTCATTATGCTAAAGGAAAAATCATACTTGGAATCCTTGCGGTTTAAACCATTCTCAAACAGTGACTAAAAGTGGCCTATTACTAGTAGTGGTTCTTAACTTCTAAATCAAGTCTTTGCTAATCCTCCAATGTAGCAAAGTAGGCCTTATTTTCCAATCATACCTCAAAATCTCCACAAGATTCCATCAGATGCCGACTTTTAAACTGTTGCTAGTAAATATAATGTGCCTTCAATTGCATGCTTTTTCTTTTTTTAAATTTAGTTCTCTTTACTTCTATAAGAAGTATAGCATCTACAGTTCTACATATTATAACCACTTTGCTAAAACAATTTACAAAATGTCATGTCCAAATGGTTACGCATTAAAGAAGGCTACTTCAGACTGTTTCAATACCAAACTAAAGAATGTATTAATTTCTTTTTGACAGTTCTTAAAGATGTAAGTTAACTTCAGTTGAATGCACCCACCAACTGCAGATAAATTCTACTCTGGTTTAGTAATTGTGAAACAGTACGTGCATATTTCAATAAATATGAAATTAACTCGATATTTAAGAACATCTGAATTACGAAGTGTAAAAAACACAATCTTCAGCAGAGGTTTGAATAAAGGGGAAATTAAAAAATAAAAACAAAGGGACAAAGTTGTGAAAGAAGTTGTAACAAATTTCACCAAAAAGAAACGAATTTAACTCTTTAAAGAACATTAAGTGACATAACTAGTGGGGTTAATTAGTTGTAAAGTAAAAGCCAAAGATCAAAAGATTTACCTCATAACTTGGGCCTCATGACGTATGACAAAATACCAGTATTAAAACTTAATTAATTAAATTATCTGGACAGAAATATAAATCTGTATACGGGTAGAACCGAGCTCTATTGTCACGGGCCCATTTCCTTACATTGGGTAACGGCACCTGCTCGCCCGTGCAGCGCCTGCAGTTCCCCTCGCTGCAGGCCAGCCTTCTTCCTGTCTCAGGATTTCCCAAGCACGATCCTGTGCATGTCGGTAGGACTCGCCCGTAGGCTCGCCCCAACTTGTGCCGCCCGTAAGATGCCTAGGCCCTTGGCCCTA